TAATTTTCGAAGTCCAGGATCACGCTCCAAATTAGAAATATTAAAGTCTCTAATTTCAACTCTAGGGGTCTTAGATGGGCGCTCACCCACTTGTGAAGAAGCAATTTCGGCTTCTTCATCATTAAGATCTTGTGACGGTTGTGGCACTAAAGTCGGCGGGTCAATACTTCGTAAAGGTCTCTTGAAATATGAATCAATCCTTTTATTATTCATAACTGAAAATACAAAAAAGAAAAACTTTAGTGACTTAGTCACTTAGACATTTGAAATAAGTCAAATAATTTCACAATTTCAAAAAAAAATTAAATAACCTAATGCAAATAGAAGTATATATATGACCACTAATTTCATAAATAACCTAGAAATTCACAAATCACAATTACTCTTTATATTCAATTCATAAATAACCTAGAAATTGAAGCTGAAGCCTGAAGGGTTACAACAAATTGCTTACCTGTGATTCTGCGAACCAGTCGGCCAGGAGTCCAGGACCAGACTTCCGCGGAGGCGGCGGAGCAGTCGAGGAGCGGCGCTGACGCCTGACGCGTTGTGGCGAGCGAGCAGGCAGTCGCGGTCGCGCGGAGCAGCAGAGGGCGGCGCTTGGCGTTGCTTACTTGCTTACGGAGTTCCGGCCGTTCCGCAGAGGGAGGGAGGGAGCTGCGCAGTCTGTGCTTCTTCCTGCTGAAGTGCCGATTGGTTCTTTTCTTTTGTGTTCCCCTGGGGCCTGCCGATTGGTTCTTTTCTTCTTGGGCATTTGGGCTGCAAACTTAGAGTAGTAGAGTGGAGTAGTGGACTTTATTTGCACCACTGGGCCAATATTTTATTTGCACCGGGCCAGTATTTTATTTGCACTGGGTCAAATCTAAATATTTTTTAAAATTAAAAATTTAATGGCTAATTCTAATTTATATTTTTCCTATAAGGTAATTGAAATTTTTCTATGACCTAAGGGGGCGATTTTGAATATTCTGATCAAGGTAAAATTCAAAAATTACGAGAATACTACATATATATACTAAAAAAAAATTCCAAGGGGGGCGACCGCCCCCCGCGCCCCCCCCCCCCCTAAATCCATCCCTGCATGTTGGGTCCTTTGATTGACGTTGCATTATATATAATCTCCCTATACATTGTTCCCTGAGATAGATAGTATTTGGAACTTCCACACCCTGAGGACGACTAAAGACGGTTCCGGTAAATTTGATTTGTCTACTCTATAAAATTAAGTAATGAAGCCCATAACAAAAGGCCCAATGTTATGTCACAGCAAGCGGAACTTCATCTAAATCTACCGCCGAACTCCATCTGCCGATTAGTCCCTTTGCGGATGAGGTATGAGTAGAACAACAATAGTTGGCGCCGATGATCTGCTCCTTCGTCTCTATGGCCTACGAACGCGCCACCATCATCTTCTCCGGTAGTGCCCCAATTCTGACAACACTGATTTCTAGTAGCAATCGGTCATTTAATATGTTCGAAATCGGCACAAGCCTCCGATGGAATTAATGTGTGGTGATCACTGGTATCGTATTGGATAGAGTTTCTTTTCCTCAGATACATGCCAAACCAACAGCCTTCTGGTGAAACTTCTGACATGAGTTAAAGGCTTCAACCATTCTTGTTGTACACACCCTTGTACACACCTTGTACACAACATGTTTGTGAAGCTTTTTGTTTTGTCTGTGAATCCGGTTCACAGACAATATTTTGTTTGTGCAAAACATTGTCTGTGAATCGATGTTCACAGAAAAAAAAAAGCTTTCACAGACAACGGTGTGTACAAAAGTGTGTACAAAAGTGTGTACAAACATCATTTTTCTAAAGGCTTAGCTTCTCCTTGATCTCAGGATTATCCCTGCATAAGAAAAAGCCCATAAGAAAAGAGAGTCCAATTGTGTGGCATTTTTGTAATTTAAGGGAAAAGTCACGGTTTCCGCTAATGAGCAATATTGTACTTTTAGTGAGCATGTGACCTATTTTATTGAGTATTAGAAGGCTACATAACTTACTAATGAGCATTAATGAATTTGTTAATTGCTTTGTTAGTTGAACATCACGACATTTTGATTGAACATCAAACCTCCTCTATTGAGATCGATGAATATCAGGATTTCTGTTAAATGATCATTATACCTATACAAATGAGCATATATAACTTAGAAGATGAACATTGATATGAAAATGATAAATTTTGTTCGTTGAGCATCAAAACATTTTCAATGAGCATCAAACCTCCATTATTGAGTATTAGAATATGCTATTGAGTATAATGATTTGTGGTCTCGTGTCTATAATCAACTCGTATATAAATCTAATGTAATATGAGACTTTTGAAATATGCATTGTTAAAAATTTTAAAAATGAGCCTAACAGAAATACTAAATGAACATACATTACTTACAAAATGAGTATCCAAAATTCAAAAGCTCATTTGTGTATATTCATTTTTTAGGCGTTTTACTCATTTGAATAATTGAATTTTAAGTAAAACTCATTTCTAATGTGTTCAGCGTATTAACATGTAAAGAAAAAGAAAGAAGTAAACAACAAATAAAGAAATGAAAAGAAGTAAAGAAAAAAGACAAAATAAAAGAAAGTAAAACCAACTAGCTAGCAGTAAAAGTAAAGGAAAAAAATAAAAAATAAGCATAAATGAGTATAAGTTGAGCATATGTAACTTCCAAAATGAGCATTGATATTAAAATTATAAGTTTTTTAATTGAGCATCAAAACATTTTCATTGAACATCAAAAGTCACAAATTCTCAACAGAAAAAGAACAGGTACTCATTAAAAGTTCACTAATGTTCATTTAATAGAAATCGTGGTTTTCATCTCAATAGAGGATGTTTGGTGGTCAACGAAAATGTCGTTATGTTATACTAACGAGCTTTACGATTTTGATATTAATGAACATTTTGTAAGTCATGTATGATAATTTAGTACTGATGTTATGCTCATTTTAAAATGCCATATCAATGCATATTTCAAAATATCATAGTATATTAAATTTGCATATTGAAATTCATAGGACTATTATAGATATAATTTTGAAATGTTTTCATAAAAGAAAAAATAAGAAAGAGAAAATTACTTAGATGATATGAAGCAGAGATCGTGATGCTCATTGTTTGGTTTCTAATACTCAATAAAATAGGCCAGATGCTCAGTAAAAGTACACTAATGCTCATTTAACGGAAGCCGTGATTACAACTGGATGTATGATATACAGGGGCGGAGCCAGGAGGTGAGGGTAGGGGGGCAAAATGCTATTACATAATATACTCCTCTTAAAGTTTATTAAATTAGTATACCAATTTTTTCTTATAAATCTTTTATATTAGATACTTTAAGACGGATATCTCCAATACTACTCCATAATATATTATTAATAATATATTTTTACATACGGAGTACCGAATATTATTTATGGGCTAATAATCACTTCTTCAAAATATAGTGTTGTTATAGATTAATATTTTCCAAAATGACTACTTATAGAATATATAATGTTTTTATACATATGATATTTTAATAAAGTATTGAAAAATTATAAATGTAGTACAGAGTATAACTATAAACATATTTTGAACTACTATATTACTACAGGAAATACAAATTGGGGGGGGTAAAAAAATAAATTACAAGCCAATAATAAAAAATAAATAAAAATGTTGGGAGGGGCAATGGCCCCCCTAGACATATACATAGTTCCGTCCCTCATGATATAGGCACTGGCTTTTAATGGCTACTAGCGAATATTAATTAAATGTTTTATTATCTTTCCATTATTGCGTATTAGAATCGTGCAATTGAGTATCATGATTTGTGGTCTAGTGTCTATAATCAACTTCTATGCCCTAATGTAATTTTAAAATATGTATTGATATAACATTTTCTAAAAATGAGCATAGTATAGGTACTAAATGGACATACATAACTTACAAAATGAGTTTTCAAAAATTCAAAAGCTTGTTTGAATTCTCTAATGTGTTTTAAATGTTTATTTGTGCAAATATATTATAATGACAAATATAGTAATGAAAAATATACTAAATTTATATTAAAAATAATTATAGTCTTTTTGTTCTGGAATTAAAAATATAATCGAGTTCTTTTTATAATGTTTACTCATGCATATTTATTTTACACTATACTTATTTTAGTATAATACAAAACTCATGTTAGTAATTAGCATATACATAGTAATATTTAATAATCTAATAAATATTCATCTTAAATTGAAAATAGAAAAATAAAACATTAATATCTTAAATATCCATCATAAATTAAAATCAATGGAAGAGGTGGATAAGAAAAAAACAATCATGCTTGATGTACCCACACACTTGTACACATCTTACACACACCATGTTTGTGAAGCTTTTTTTTTGTTTGTGAACCCGATTCATAGACAATATTTTGTTTGTGCAAAACATTGTCTGTGTCGATGTTCACAGAAGAAAAAAAACTTTCACAGACATAGGTGTGTACAAAGGTGTGTATAAGAGTGTGTACAAACATCATTAAAGGAAAAAAGAAATCAAAAGGAAGTACTCCCTCCGTCCCTGAATTATCTTCAAACTTTCCTTTTTCGTCCGTCCCAAAATTATATCCTCCTTCCCTTTTTGGCAAAGAATTTGTGGTTCACAATCATTCTTACACATTCTTACACATTTCGTTCTCCTCTGCACAACTCTGCACCACACAAAACCCACTATCTTAATAAGTGTGCCCATCCGAAATGAGAGATAAAATAGGGACGGAGGGAGTACGTAGAAAGCAAAAAAAAAACAATGACGGATCGATTCAAGAAAAAGAACTGGGGTGAAGTTCACTATGTAAAAGGGGCCTACTCACCATGTGTGGGCCGCATCTCCATAAAAGTTGTTGATCATGAACAAGGACGGATCCAGGAAATTTGACCAAGGGGGGCGAATTTGCAAAATTTTATACGGTCATACTCATACGGAATTTACAAAATGTAGCATATATTTGCTAAAATGTTTAGATTACCAAATGCATAATATTTCACATAACTTCAGCAAAAAACAACAAAATAGGAATTTTCATTCAACCCCTTCTACGTATGAAAGTTAGGCATTCTAAATTGCACTCTACGATTTTTTAAAAGATCAAAGTCATCAATGATAGAATCTGTTGAAAACCCCCGAGCTATGTCTCTCTCTATATATGTCACCAGGTAGCTTGAAAGAAAGTCATCCTCCATTTTATTTCGGAGGCAAGTCTTCACAATTTTCATGGCTGAAAATGCTCTTTCTGTGGTTGCCGTTGAAACTGGAAGAGTTAGTAAGAGACGGATTATCCTATCAACAAGAGGATAAATGGTTGACTTCCGAGTCTTCGTCATTAATTCACACAATTCCGCTAGTGTTGATGCTTTCTTCAACTCTAGATTTTGTTGAGCATCAAATTTGAAATGCTCCAGCTGAATCCTCAAGTGTTCCTTTTCCATTGTAGAGAAATCATCAGGATAAAACTTGTTCACAAGTTTGCATATATCTTCAACCTGAAAAGACTTATAATCATCTCTTGGATCCAAAGCAGAACTCAGAACAAGTAACTCTACAACATCATCCTTGAAGCGATAATTCAGTTCTAGCATAAGCTTATCCACAACAGAGTTAAATATATCAAACTTATAGTGATGCTCCAATGTAAGACAATCTTTGTTGTTTCTTTGATGGCGGGGTCGACCTCGCCCAGCTTTGTATGCAGCACTGAAATTTGGAATTTCTATTCCATGTTGAGAACAGAATAACTTCACTTTCTCAAGTAAGAGATCCCATCCATGTTCTCTCATTTTTTGGAGAAGCTCTTTTGTTGATGACACTAAATGCATTGCATTCAGTATATCTTGAGATTTACGCTGCAAGGCTTGAGACAAATCATCTGTCACTGCAAGCACATCAATCATGAGATGTAAAATAAACACAAACTCAAAAGATGTTATCACATCATACACTCCATCAGCTTCACTCCTCTGTGTCATGCTCCCAGATTTAATTATGTCTCGCAACACATCACAAGTAGAATTAAACATCCTTACCAAACTGCGAAGTGAGGTTAAATGGGAACCCCAACGAGTATCTCCCGGACGTTGGAGAGTGCCAACTTGGTTTTTCCCCTTACCAGTTTCAATATCACCGTTTGTGATCATCTCCTCAATATGTAATGACTCAAAGTCTCTCAGTTGATCAATCCTTTTGCCAGAACAAAGGACCAAATTAATAATGGTAGACAAATATGAGAAAAATTGACTAACCGGAATCACCTCTTTGGAAGTAGCAACCAATGTTAATTGAAGCCGGTGAGCAAGACAATGAACATAATAGGCAAATGGAGACTTTTGTAAAAATAAGGCCTGCAAACCATTCCATTCACCACGCATATTGCTTGCTCCGTCGTATCCTTGTCCTCGAATATTCGCCACACTAAGACAATAACGAGATAGAACTTCTGAAATTCCTTTCTCCACAGCTAATGATGTAGTCTCTTTAACATGAACTATATCAAAAAATCTTTCACGAATGAAGCCTTCTTTATCAACGAATCTCAATACAATCGCCATTTGCTCTCTCTTGGACTCATCACGAGCTTCATCAACTAGTATGCAGAACTTTGAATCGCCAATCTCTTCTCGAATATAGTGTTGGACCTTAGTTGCCAAAACAGAAAGAATCTCTTTTTGAACACTTGGAGAAGTGTATGACGCGTTTCTTGGAGCATTCCCATGTGATTAAGAAAAGGGCATTGAGATCCTTCATTAACTTTCTTCCATGACCGGAACCCCTCAACAGTAAAAGTGCTCCCATGACGACCAAATGGCTTATTGAATAGAAAGCATGGTAAACAATAAGCAGCATTCTTGCTGGGTGAAAACTCTAGCCAATCTGGAAATAACTTATACCAAGATGGAAGAAATCGTCGTCCATTCTTATCAACATAATTAGAAGATTTGGGGGAATGGGTTGATATGGCCCAAATTGAATATAAGCTCGGCGAACCTCTTCTTGTTCATTAGGATTGTAATCCCAAATTAATTTTCGAAGTCCAGGATCACGCTCCAAATTAGATATATTAAAGTCTCTAATTTCAACTCTAGGGGTCTTAGATGGGCGCTCACCCACATGTGAAGAAGCAATTTCGGCTTCTTCATCATTAAGATCTTGTGACGGTTGTGGCACTAAAGTCGGTGGGTCAATACTTCGTAAAGGTCTCTTGAAATATGAATCAATCCTTTTATTATTCATAACTGAAAATACAAAAAAGAAAAACTTTAGTGACTTAGTCACTTAGACATTTGAAATAAGTCAAATAATTTCACAATTTCAAAAAAAAATTAAATAACCTAATGCAAATAGAAGTATATATATGACCACTAATTTCATAAATAACCTAGAAATTCACAAATCACAATTACTCTTTATATTCAATTCATAAATAACCTAGAAATTGAAGCTGAAGCCTGAAGGGTTACAACAAATTGCTTACCTGCGATTCTGCGAACTAGTCGGCCAGGAGTCCAGGACCAGACTTCCGCGGAGGCGGCGGAGCAGTCGAGGAGCGGCGCTGACGCCTGACGCGCTGTGGCGAGCGAGCAGGCAGTCGCGGTCGCGCGGAGCAGCAGAGGGCGGCGCTTGGCGTTGCTTACTTGCTTACGGAGTTCCGGCCGTTCCGCAGAGGGAGGGAGGGAGCTGCGCAGTCTGTGCTTCTTCCTGCTGAAGTGCCGATTGGTTCTTTTCTTTTGTGTTCCCCTGGGGCCTGCCGATTGGTTCTTTTCTTCTTGGGCATTTGGGCTGCAAACTTAGAGTAGTAGAGTGGAGTAGTGGACTTTATTTGCACCACTGGGCCAATATTTTATTTGCACCGGGCCATTATTTTATTTGCACTGGGTCAAATCTAAATATTTTTTAAAATTAAAAATTTAATGGCTAATCCTAATTTATATTTTTCCTATAAGGTAATTGAAATTTTTCTATGACCTAAGGGGGCGATTTTGAATATTCTGATCAAGGTAAAATTCAAAAATTACGAGAATACTACATATATATATACTAAAAAAAAATTCCAAGGGGGGCGACCGCCCCCCGCGCCCCCCCCCCCCCCCTCCCCCCTAAATCCATCCCTGATCATGAATGTCGGCCCTGTAGTCCACAGCACAGGAAGAAAGGTTACAAATGAAAGTAAAAAATATTACAAAAATACCTGGATGTACGGTGAACACCGTACATCCGGGTGTACGGTATAATTTACCACACTAGTTTCAGTAACACTGAAAAAATCAATTATTTCAATGACATAAGTAATTAATCAAACAACCTGATTTTAGGTAAATAATAAGTACAGGGTACGTTCAAAGAACCCGCTTGAGCGAAAGCAGGGGTTGCTAAAGCTAAGATAGATGTCATTTGTTATTATATATATTAATGCGGCGCCTGTAGTTGAGAATCAAAGAAGCTACACATCTTTATCGAGAAGTGATGATGCTGCTTTTGTAGTTTTGTTGAGGTAAGTGGTACACAGCAGCAAGCATTGTCGTGTTGTCTCTCCATTTCTTACGGACTCCTCTCAATTATTCAACTTTTAATTATGAATAAAGTAATTTCATATAAGAATGGAAAAACATTAACCACACAAATAATTTCAAAAAATGACATCTACATTACTAATAGAGTTTCAACAGACAAAAGTAGACTAGTTATGTTTTTAGACAAAAATATGACTAATCACTATATATGAGGAACTGTAAAGAACCATTATAGTGTATTTCAGAGTGACAAGTCATTGATAGATGATCAGTCAATGAGAACTAATCATTAAATATGTCACTTTTTGGAATATTTTAAAACAAGTTATATTCAAATTTAATTTAATAATATTAATGGGAAAATGCCAATAATTTCTTAAAAAGAAACGAGAAGAAAATAATGGTATGAAAAAGTAATTTATAGGTAGAAGTATAGAACTACCACTGTCGTATCCCAAAATAGAACTTTTTTGAAAGAAGAAGTCTTAATTATTATTAATAATGCGAGTAACAAGAGACAAAACATTATAATAGCTCAAGACTACACTGGGTCGAGGCGTAGAATTGACTAGCCTCTAAGGACTGCAACTATAATCAGAGATAACTAAACAAGAATTTCTTAAATAAAAATAACAAAAAAATTCAAGTGTCCCGGTTTTACCAGTCACCATTATGGTTGGACTCGGGCCGGGCCTAGGCCCGATCGGACCGACGGTTCTATATAGCTGGACCCGGGACCGGCCCGGGTAGCCACCGGGTCCGGTCCGGGTCCGGGCCGGGCCGGGCCGGGCCTCGGGTTTGGGTTTTTTTTTTGCTTAGCTACCCATCCCTGACCCCCCCTCACCCCCCCCCCCCAAACCCCTCCTAAACATCAAGCCCAACCCGGTGGAGCCCAAACAAATGAAAAAAACAAAAATAAATAAATTTGGCCTGAACCGGGCCCGGGCTTGGCCGGGCCGGGCCTTGTTATGGGTGACCTGAGCCCAGACCGGAAACCCACCGGGTCAGGCCTACCCGGACTGGCCACTGACCGGGCCACCGGTTCGGGCCGGGCCGGAACAGTACCGGTCCCGGGCCGGTTCCGGGTCGGGCCACCCGGCCCGAGTCCAACCCTAGTCACCATGAAGGAAGAAGAGATTTGTCCATCCACCTTCAAAGGAAGCATCTCGATTTTACAGCCACCGTGAAGGGAAAGGAGGTTTTAACCAGCCACCTCTAAAGTAGTCATCTCGTTTATTGGACATGTCTGTATTTTAGGAGTAAATGAGGTTTGAAATTCCAAAATAGGAGTATTATATTTTTCTTCCCGAAATAGGAGTTGTTACTGCCATGTATGAAAGATATTGCCATGATTGAAAATTATTGTCATTAATTATAATATATATTGCCATATGAAAAGCACTGTACTGTAACTATTTGGCAGTCACGTCTACAAGATGACAGTAAATATTGACATGTTAGTCCTATTTCGGGAATAAAAACATAGTAATCTTATTTTGAAATTTCAAACTCGATTTACTCCTATTTTGAAAATCACACAAAAACATAGTAGTTCTGGTTTGGAATTCCAAACATCATTTATTCCTATTTTGGGTAATTTCCCTTGATGTATATATATAGAAGATAAAAAGATAAGTTAGTTCGTTCTCGATGGGAGCAAATATTCACCCATGTTCACATATTCCTTCAGGCTTTAGCCTACGTTGAATATGAGACGGTAAAACTTTGTTTGGTCATCTTGTTTTTAACTCATCAGACTCATGCGTTTTCATCAAATTAGGTTATAATAAGAAAAGTAAGATTATAGTTACTTTTCTGATTGTATTGGATGAAATTATTGTGTATGACCATTTTAACTATTTTTTTATATAATGTTTTGTTCACTTTATTAAGGAAAAAAGGTCAAATACATCCTTGTACAATGATCGATCTGTCACTTAGACTCATGTACTAAAAGAGCGATGATACAAACTCATTTACTACGGTATATAAAATCAATCAATTTTACCAATTTTACGAGAACCAACCCTCTGCAGCAGGTTAATTGCATTTTTTTGTCCTTTTGTTTTTCTTCTCTCTTTACTTGTCTTCCTTTTTGCCGACTTCTCTTCCCATTCTCAGAGCATTTTTATGGGATAATGCATCTTAGGTGTGATGCACCGATGCTGAATTGGAATGTAAAATAATGAACGATGTCTATTCCTACGTCTAGCTATAGCAAGTAGGGGTGCACAAAAAAACTAATTAACCGTGGTAAATAACCGAAAAATCGGTGTTTATTTTGTTTAATCACACCGTGTTTTTTAAAATCTTGCGGGACAGTTAATCAATTGATAGAAAAAACATTTTACTTTACGGTTACGGTTTTGAAATTAAATACCACCGGTTAATCGATAATCCAAAAGTTAATATATTGCTCCCAAATTCATACATACATTTTGATTACTAGATTCCAAATTATTGTTCATTTCTGTTGCATCTTAGATTTAAAACTTAATTTTACGTTCGGATTTTTATTTAAAATCTCGTTTTACATTCAAAGAATATTGTATTACAGGAAATTTTCTCAACCTTCGAAAAAGTATGTTTCCGATCTAACTTTTTTAGTTATATATATGTGTGGATCGTTGCGCTTACCGCTACACTAAAAACAATTGTTGATAGTGTAGCACGCTCCTTTCCCTTTATAGCACAAGCGAAGCACGACGTTTCTTTACCCCTTTACACCGGCAGGCTGGAAGATTGCTGGCACACATACCCGCGGCCCACGACCCAACAATCTCCCCCCAGCACCTGCCAGCCTTCAGCTGTGCAGCATGCTGTCGCTGGGGGTCGAACCCGTGACCTTGGCTCTGATACCACTTGTGGATCGTTGCGCTTACCGCTACACTAAAAGCAATTGCTGATAGTGTAGCACGCTCCTTTCCCTTTATAGCACAAGCAAAGCGTCACGTTTCTTTACCTCTTTGCACCGGCAGGCTGGAAGATTGCTAACACGCATATCCGCGGCCCACGGCCCAACACTATGACTACATATTGAATTAGAAGCATATACTACATATAAATTGTTCATAATACGTACTCGGTATGTAGTATTATATACTGTAGTAAACTTCCAGTTGGTAAAAAATTATTCTCAAAACCACAATACTGCATATACCTAATTTAGTACGTGATGGGATATTAAGGTCCGGCCCAATACGGCGGCTCAAAATATCCCTGAAGTCCAGGCGCAAGGAAAGGCCTAGAGAGAATCATCAGGCCCGAACGGCAGGCCCCATTCGGCACATCCTGAACGGGATATAATTACTACTTGGGTAATTAGCTTATTCCTGATTGATGGCTTAGCTGGACTTAATCCCGAACGAACATTGATCGAGTAACCGACTGCATTTAACGTTGGATCATGGGGGCGTCAAGTGGCATGGGAGGCAACCAATCACATTAGAGCACCCGATACCCCCCCCCCCCCCATCTAGTATAAATAGCAACATTTAGGGGGGGTCCCCAATATGGATTCTTACAGATTTTAAAGGAATTTAGAATTCCATCAGAAACCGGGTGTCCTCAACTTGGATTTTCAAAACTCC